CTCCAAACTTTCCCTTTCTCCAATGCAATAGTCCAAAATGAAGTCAGTCTGGACTCCCTATTTTTCTGAGTCTCCGAGCTCATTAAGGCTATGAACAGAATATAAACAGAGACTTAAGATCATGGAAATCACATGCTCACAATCATGTAGCACAATTTCAGCGAATGCCTGGTGTCATTATCAATTCATATCGATCATAAATCGTACAACCGAATCTGTTTTCATTAGAGACTTCTTGCAAGTGTCAAAAGAGTTTTGTCGATTATATTCTATATACATGTATCTATGAGACTTCTATAGATGAGGGGAGGTGGGGTAGTCTAGTGGTTAAAGTGTTCGCTCGTCACGCCGAGCCCGGGTTCGATTCCTCACATGGGTACAATGTGAGGCCCATTTCTGGTGTCCCACGCCGTGATATTGCTAAAACGGCGTAAAACTAAACTCACTCACACTATATTTATACAATACAGTCACTGTGGCCCAGTCGCCTATGGCGCCCAAATACAGTGCAAACTTGTGTCCCTTAGGTGAGCCAGAAGTCGTGGGTTCGAATCCCGTTTCTGCATGTTTAAATTTACTTTGTCATCACCATACCCCAAAGTGAAACATGTCAGACCTGCACCAATTTGGGATTTCCACCAAAACTAAAATGATATAATTGAAATATTGTTCGAAGTATTAAATTCACAATACTCGCTGACACTTGTAATACAGCATATCTAGGTATTGTAACCGAAAAGGTGAGTGAGTGAGTACGGTTTTACGCCGCTTTTAGCAATATTCCAGCAATATCCATATCCAATATTCCTGCGGGTGGACACCAGAAATGGGTTTCACACATTGTACCCATGTGGAGAAGCGAACCCGGGTCATCGGCATGACGAGCGGACGCTTTAACCACTAGGCTACCCCACCGCCCCATAACCGAAAATGAAACTGTGGCGATGTAAGGGAATTCCCCGTGGGCACATCTCAATTTTGTTCACAACAGCTTAAGCAAACAAGAGTACATGGGGAATGAATTACGCTGACATGATATAAAAACGTCGTTTCTGCAAATTTTGTCAGATGCTTGAACTCATATTGCGATTATGTTTATTGGGGGGTTGCGTTAACCGCCTAGGGTGAACTTGTAACATCTGTTGAAACTGACGAATAGCTTCCTTTGTAGTGATGACTGTTTCCGGCCTGCTAGATGATCATTTACTGAACGCCTCATTCATACGGTGTGAAAGCGCAGAGAAGAAACATAGCCGCCCATTTGGGTGAAAGAATTTGATGCTTTGCGCTTGCTTTTTAAGCTATACTGGAATGAAAAAGTTTTAAAGTTTTTTTTCAAATTCTTTTTATTCATTTCAGTTCAGCAGGTGTACAGTTGATTACTTTTATCATTGTTTTTCAGAGCATATACGATGAAGCGCTCATAAAATGATGGCCATGTCAGGTGTATAATTATGTCTGTAATACATTGTGCAGAGGTTTCCATTTGGAATGAAATTTAGGCAAATCATTGTTCTTACATGCAATTAGTCTTTCTACTTTGTACACATCCTTGACGATATTAGCAAAACAATCAATGGATAGTTCATTCTGTTTTATACTTGAAGTATGAATATACTGTTTGGCCAACAGGATAATGTGTGTTGCTAGTAGACTAGCTCAACTGTTGCAAAAGAGAATGTCTTGATCAGAAATGGGAACATCACAATGTGTAGGATTAATAAGGTGTTCAACTTTTCTCCAAAATCCCTGTACAAGATAACATTTTATTAACACATGTTGGAGGCTTTCTGGTTCAGATTTACAAAAGGAGAAAATATTTGTTTAAATTATCTTCATTTGCACCAACTGTTTTCTAGTATAAATTGCTCTGTTTATAAATCTATACTGAAAATCTAAAAGCTTTACATCCTTTGTGCCCTTTGTGTGTTTTTTAAACACATTGTTCCATGAAATGTCTGTATTTAGTTCATTCTGCCATTTCTGACAAACTGTAGGTGGAGTGTCATTTTCTATAAGTTTGTCACAGACAATTCTACATTTCTTCATTTGAGAAAGTAGGTCTTGAAGAGTTGAGTTTAGTGAGAATTTTGAGTACTTACGGGATCAGATAAAAGAGTATTTTTTCCAAGACTTGGGAATGTTTAAAATAATTTTATTGTACTCTAAAATTGTTCTTTTGATGCAGTAAAGCTTTTTTATTTCATTGAAAGAAAAAAACCAGTTTCACCCCATATATCTCTTATTGTATGAATACCTCTGTTAAACCAACCTCCAATCAAGAAATTACTATTTCTAACTTTGTGATTCAACCACAAAGGTTCAGCCATGATTTCTTCTGGTTTACAAGTATTTATCTTATGTTGTTTATAATATTTACTCCAAATAGGTAAAACATCATCCCCAAATGGGTTTATCAATCCTTGCATAACTGTGAATAAGTGCACCAAGAAGAAATATTTTGTTGAATGGAAATCAACTGGGATTGTGGGGTGACGTTTTATTTACATGCCTTCTGAGGCGAAGTTTGAAAGTTTGATAAACGCAGGTATCGGGCTGCTCTGAGGACTGTGTGAAAAAGACTCAACAAATAGTGTAGTATGAAACCATTGTGTTTGCAGCCAAATTAAATTATCCGTCTTTCACAGAAATAATAGAAATCGATGTTATGAATAGGGGTGGGTATTGCAGAGAGTTTTCATATTGTGATATATTGCAGTTCGAAATCATATATTGCGATATGTATTGCAATATATTGCAGGAAGTTGTTTTAACCAAAAAGTACTTATATTCGAAATAATGCTTGATTTATAAAGCAAAAACACACCAAAACACCCTGGTGTGTTTAATAAAAAGCTTTAATAAAAACGTTTAATAATGACAAAGTAAAAATGTGAATAATATTTGACACAAATGAAACAAGGAAAAGAACAATTTAACATCAACACAGTGGTTACTAGTTTGAACTAGTTTCTCCACGCTCAAAAACATAAGCCCTGAGATTTTAGACAGCAGCTTGACCTGGTCAGGACATATCAGAAATCACTGGTCATTAATCAGTAAATATTTAAAACATTCAGACCCAAAACATTACGAAACACTTGAACAAAAAATTAAGAAGTCAACTTCAAACCGAACTTAACAATGCAGTTAAATATAATTTTCACCACGATCATTCCCACCGCCATTACCGCAATTGCCACAATCATCAACATCTTCATCACCACACCATGAAAAAAAATGAAATATCCGAAGATTTCCGAGTGTTGCGAAGTTTTCCGAATGCATGTCAAAATACCTGTTTTCGATCAGCGTATCGCAATACGTATCGCAACACGTATGTTCAAACCGGTAAATACCGGTAAACCGGTCATATTGCGCAGCCCTAGTTATGAACCAGTGACTGAAAATATACCTCTTATGTCCCTGTCTCTCTCCTAATATTCATAGTGGTTCGCCATTGAGAATGGTAAGACAATGACCACGTCAGCTACATAAATTCACTACGTTGGTGAGATGTTAAGTGGGACCTGTATCAATTCGAACCCAAATTTACCCGTGAAGATCCGGGTTCGAATTGGTCTTCAGTAACCCATGCTTGTCGTAAGAGGCGACTAACGGGATCGGGTGGTCAGGCTCGGTGTCTTGGTTGACACATGTCATCGTTTCCAAATTGCGTAGATCGATGTTCATGCTGTTGATCACTGGATTGTCTGGTGCAGACTCGATTATTTACAGACCACCGCCATACAGCTGGAATACTGCTGAGTGCGGCGTAAAACCCAACTCACTCACTCGAACCTAGATTGAGGCAAAAGAGGGACACAATGCTGCCATGTCTAGGGTATGTAGTAACACTTACCGCCACAAAGTCGAACAGGTGAGACAAGAATGGACAAAGCAACTCTAAAAAGCGTTCAGGTCCAGTCACACGCATCAGGGCTCGATGAGACCCCCACTGAGGTCTTTCAGGTTTTCTGTAGTTATTGTGGTCTCGGCTTGAAGTCTCTTCGATCTCAACATGTTGAAGGTTTGTGTTGTGTGTTCAAATTTACTGAACATTGTACACAAAATTCTTTTCTCCTTATACTGTTTTAAATTCGTTTTCATTTCTTTAGTTTTATGTATTCATGTTAAGAAGACTAAATACATTTAGTTATTGTACGTAAATCTTACATCTGGGGCATCATCGCGTCACCACTCACAGTGTTCAGAGCGCTACAATACAGCATACAAATTTATGAATACTTATCGTTGGGGCAACTGGTAACATATCCGGACACCGTATACTTAATAATATCTTGAAAATCTGTAATTTATATTTCTGGATCTCTTAAATATATAAATTGCATCACTTCAACTTGGACACCAATGACATTATGAAAGAAACATTGAGTGCGTGAGTGAATTTAGTTGTACGCCGCTCTTAGCAATATTCCAGCAATATCACGGCGGGGGACACCAGAAATGGGCTTCACACATTGTACCCATGTGGGGAATCGAATCAGGGTCTTCGTCGTGACGAGCGAACGCTTTAACCACGAGGCTACCCCTCGCCCACTGAAACAAAGAACAACATCAGATTCTGCCACCATAACCTCCTGTGGCTGCCAGAAGGCTGTCGTTCACCAATTCGTACTCCAAAAGAATTTCGGAAATTAAATTTTTCCATACAAAAGAATTACAGAAAGGTATACGGACCTCTGTAAGCTTCAATAACACTTCGACAATAGACATTAATGTCATATACGTACCTCTTGACCGCCACAGCGTTCACATTATACCTATGTGCCTGATACTGATACAGATCTTGACGGTTCTCCCGCAAGGTTAAAGCCAAATCATAAGCACTAAGTATGCACGTAATTGTATATGGTATGGCATTGCTTGCAACAATATTCAGCGCTACGGGTGCTATTTTGTTGTGGAGACGTGAGCTGTTTGGATACTGTGATGGATACTGTTTTTGAGTGCACATTTATTGAGTTTGAATTTTAAATATGGACAACTGGTTGTTCGTCTACCTTGTCTCTATCGTCATTGAGCCTATACTTTCAGGTAGGTAGATCCCAAGACCCACGAAGAACCCTGGTTAGAATTGGTGTTCAGCAATTTTATAGTAAGAGAAGACGTGGCCAGTCTCCCTGCAATGGTTGATGCATGTCATCGTGTACCATTTACGTCGACCGTTCTGGATTGTCTGGTCCAGAATCGATGAACAGTCAGCCGTAGTTTGCACCAACAATTCATACAACCAAACAAAAATGGGTTTCAAATTGAATTTAGCGCTGTGAATTCCACATCTAGTCAAGCTATCTTTACATTGCAAAATACAGTATTGTTAAAACGTTCCGATAGATTCCCAAACTTGACGCATTCGGACCAGGTGGTTCAAAACAATATTCGTAGCGATAGGGTTGATATCTCTTAATTTATACCTATTTGTTGAACAGTGTTAGATCGTTTGTGATAAAGGGAGTAATATGAGATTACAACGCCCAATTTGATAATATGTCCCTTTGAATTACCCTCATTTTTGTCCAACGGTTGCCTAATACCGATTACCGTTTTCATATGTGGTCTTAAATGTCACGCTACGATTCCTTTGCGTTCGCTCATGGATAATTACCTGTTTGTCTGCATATGATTACAAATTTGTTTCAGATTTTTGAAAATCATGTTCTTTTAACAAAACAAAGTTTTACTTTGCTTGTGATTTGGCAGTAATTACACCAGTTACCGGTTTGAGTGGAATGTCGTTGATGTACCAATGAAAAATGGATTGAGTACTTAGTGGGTGTATCAATGAAGATAGGATTAAGATGCCGGTGTGAGTAGGATTTAGATAATGTACCAATTAAAAGATGATTGTGGCCTCGGTTTGAGTGGGATTTAGTTGATGTACCAATTAAAATAAGATTGTGGCCTCGGTTTGAGTGGGATTTAGTTGATAATACCGACTACTATAGGATTGCGACCTCGGTTTGAGTAGGATTTAGTTGATGGTACCGATTAAAATAAGATTGTGGCCTCGGTTTGAGTGGGATTTAGATTTACTGATTTGATGTGACCAATTTGAATGAGAGTTGATGCACTGATTACTATTGAGATTTAGTTGGGATTTAGTTGATGTGGGACTGATTACTATATGACTGTGAGGGCCTCGGTTTCGGAGTGAGTGGGATTTAGTTGATGCACTGATTACTATATGACTGTGGCCTCGGTTTGAGTGGGATTTAGTTGATGCACTGATTACTATATGACTGTGGCCTCGGATTGAGTGGGATTTAGTTGATGCACTGATTACTATATGACTGTGGCCTCGGATTGAGTGGGATTTAGTTGATGCACTGATTACTATATGACTGTGGCCTCGGTTTGAGTGACTGTGGGGATTTAGTTGATTTAGTGATGCACTGATTACTATATGACTGTGGCCTCGGTTTGAGTGGGATTTAGTTGATGCACTGATTACTATATGACTGTGGCCTCGGTTTGAGTGGGATTTAGTTGATGCACTGATTACTATATGACTGTAGCCTCGGTTTGAGTGGGATTTAGTTGATGCACCGATTTAGTGGAATTTTGTGGATGAGACAACACAGATAAACAGTTTAGAACTAAGGGGTTTCAACTCCTTCGTATTCCATGTGTTTATGTAGCACTAATGCTAATGTCCGTTCTAGTCAAGTAATCCTGCCTTCGAGTTTAAACGACAGTTACAGACTGTGAATATTTTCTCCTTCCAGGTACTTACATCCAGGCTGAGACAGACTCACAACACAAGATCGTCGCCATGAATGAAAGGGGGGTGCCAATCACCGGCCAAAACTCACTTATTTTCCAGATCAAGGCATGTTCTAATGCATATTTTGTTCTGTCTGAGAAGTACCGGTTTAATAAACCAGACCAACGGTTCTTCCTAGTCTTCTTGGGACGGCAACCGCCAGCGTGAACGGCATCCGAGACAGTTGTCTGAGAAGTTGCAACAAGCCTTCAGCAAAGAAAGTAGGACAGTGGCTCCACTGCTCCACCTTCCGGACGTTCTGGCTAGCCTGGGATGAACACGGAGGCTCAGCTTCCTCTTCCTCTGGGGACAGGGTAACAGAGGTGAATGGAGATTTCTTCTAAGTAAGGCCAGTTTTTGCTTTAAATCACTTGTTCCAGTTCATTTTCAAAACAATATTTAAAATAAATGTTCCAATCCTTCTTCATGAAGAAAAACAGATGTGAGGTAGAAAACGCACAGGTGCAGGAAATCATTTTAGAATGGCGATCGTTTTCAGGTAAGGAAAGGTGTTGTTTATATAAGATAAAGTATTCTAAGCTTCCTGAGCGTACTAAACATAAAGTAACGGTTGATTTCTGACGCTGCGTTTTGTTATTCCCCTCAGACAACGCTCCTCAGTTCGTGTTCCCGAGGCCATATGGTGGTTCAACAGTCGAGATTCCCGAAAACACAGATATAAAGAAGGTGCGTATGTCCCTCGATCTGAAATATTAGAAATAATAAAAAATATCTATATCATTGTGATACGGTCATATTATCCGGGCTCTTCCATGTACATGGGTGACCAATAGGTCAACGTCGCATAGTGTTTTAAGTTTGAAGAGATGCACCAAAAATTAGCGCATTTATCTTTTAATTCTCAGTTTGTACTCCAGATGTGTCCATAATCAATTATATGGTCTCTCAGTATCATACACGAGAGTGGGGGTGCTTAGGATTGCATCACGTTGGGGTTGGTGTCAGCCCGATCTGTCAGAGTTGCTTCATCTTGGCTGAACATTACAGATTACTTTAGTGCAGATATAAAGGAGTTTTGGCAAGAAGAAATATCTGGACTCATCTTTTATATATTTATTGCTTATACACATGCAGAAATCACTTATTTCTATAATACACACCCACACACACACATATATATTGTGTGAGATTTCTGAAATATATATATACAAATATGTTATATTGAGTGACATATGATACATACATGTTGTTATATTGACTAAATAAATATATTGTCTTCTATATATATCTCACTCTGTTTTAATTGGTTTGTTAATTTCGAGAACACTGGGCGTGAAGTCACTCACGTAGAACATCATCTCCCTGTCCCCGGAGTGTCGACAAGTAATTTGGACGGAGTATTTGTTGTTATCGACAGTCCGGGTATAAACCTGGGGCTTTGCTCCGTGGCGCAGCTGACGAGTTTAAGCCGTGTTGTATTGACAGAGTATTGAAGCACCAGTAGCATGCATTGCAAGGTTAATGCCTTTTAGAATCTGCCTTCAAAATGACATATTTTAATGCTATTTTGAGGGCATTATCATTTGCAGAAGCCCGTGGTCTTCCATTAACTGCCCGACAAAGGAGTTCAGTTGAAAAAGACCGAGGGCTTCTGCAAATGATAATGCCCTAAACAATAGCATTACCCTTATTATTGCTAAAATACATGGAATTGTGTTGAAAAGAAAAAGGAAACAATGAAGGAATTTGACTGTAAGTTTACCAAATCAACTTCTGACGGTCTTGACTGCCCGAATGCAATTACGTCATCGAACAATTCAAGTGACGTCACAACAGAGAGTGACGATATTCGACCTTGGCCTTTGACAAGACCATAGCCTGCAACATGTAAAACTATGTCAGTGTTCGGTTTTGGTCCAACAACAACTTTAATAGTGCAATTGTTAAGGTTAGCACCAGCAAGAAAGCCAATATTACCGCTATTTAAGCGGGAATTCGGGTTGCTTTGACTTGTTTCACCCAGAATATCTGCCAGTCGAAAGCCAATTAATTAAGAATTGAATGTCACTTTGTGTGTTTGCACTGAAAAATGAACGATGTCAAAGCGTTGTTCACACGAGATTTTGAACAACGTTTTGACATCGTTCATTTTTCTGTGCAAACACACAAAGTGACATTCAATTCATATAATTTCGCACTTTGATGTTTACACATACGTTTTGTACCCACTTCTACATGATCATTGTTTACAGTGATGTGTTTTAATACCTGATAAATGTTGTAATTTCATTCTGTTCAAGACCGTATTCGATGTTTGTACACTTGGCGATTTTTTTTACACATGTATCCCAACCCTTGAAGAAATAGTTCCCAAAGTATTCCTATAAATATTACACCAAATTCGTCAATAGGTTTGAAACTGCTTTAATAAGCATAACACCAATAAAATTATCAAACAGAAACAAATATCAATAACAATATCATTTTAACAAAATGTCATTGTACCTATAAAACTATGACGGATTCGTTTGACCGCGTAATAATACACTGACCGACTTCAAAGTTGTGCGGCGTGGCGAATAGGAAGCAGATCCCGTTGGTGTATTCTATTTATTTGTGATTGTTTATTGTGAAATCAAATGAGCAGTTTTTAAACAGATCACGGGGTGGAACCCGCAAACCGCGAGTGATTAAACTCTTGTGATAAGGAACAATGCTCTGCAATTGGAAATCTGTTTGGTCGTGAAGAAGCGACATTGCCAAAATTGGGGTGACTTGAAACAGGATCGCTCGCTAAATTGTCATCACCAAATCATTGGGGTTCCTTGAAACCGTAGCGGAAATTTGAAAATTAGGTCGCACTGGCTGGGACTTGTTGTCGGTCAGATTTTTGCAAAACTGTGCTCAGTTGGTGCTTTTTGTTACATACAAAAACAGGTAGGTGATATGTATAAATTAAAAGCAGTGTGAATGCAAATGATTTATTTGGTTTACGTCAAGGTGGACAGCGAGTATCCTGGGGAAAACCCGGAAAGTAGTTCCGGCAAAAGTTCACATGACCCAGATCGGTTCGAAAACGTTCACACACGTATGAACGATGTTTACACACGTATGAACGATTTGAAGGGTTCAAGGGAAACGAACCTTCAAATTTAGATCACATGACCGCTGTCTCAACCAACGTTCGGGAATCTGTGTAAACTTCAAAGTACGAAATTATTGTCGAATGAACCGTAAGCCCACGCACCCACTATGACGTCACTTGACAACAGAACTGATAGTGACCCGTCGTTAAGGTCTATTAGCGGTCCAATATCATTTGCGGCGGCCCGCAAATTTCTGAAAATAGGAGGGCCGTTTCATGATAATTCCATGAAATTTTAGCTATAATATATATTTTAGCTAAAACCCATGGAATTATCACGAAACGGCCCTCCCATTATCAGAAATTTTTATATGTCATTTTAAAGTGGTTCTATTAACTGCAGCATAGTCTCATTTCATCAGATTGTTTATTGAAAGATAACCATGGAAACCTAATTTTCCATGGATTCTGACTTCTTTTTTGTTGCGAAAGTCTATTGCCGTCATGTTTCCCCGCTGATGCGTGAGTGACAGCGGTTAGCAAATCTGTCAATATTCTATCGTTAGCAACCTCAAACAATTTCCAATAAGTTCATCAATATTTTCTTTTGCAATGACAGAATTTTCAAAAGACCGATTTCGAACATTGACAAATTCCGAAATCTTACTTTGAGATGATGTTTTAGAAGACGAATGCACACGAATAAAAGCTCAAACTTAAGTCAAAAACTCAGACTTAAGTTTGTTTCGAGAAATCGGGGCCTGATGTATTCTGGTGTATTGTTATGTAGGTGATACTCGATCTGAAGGCCACCGACCAGGACAAGGACATGTTAAAGTTTTCTGTTGTTGGGGAACACTCGTACACATTCAAGTGCGCAGGCTCGAGCCTCGTTCTGATGAATCCAGTGGATTACGAAGAGCAGTCACTGTACAACGTGCAAATAAGGCAAGTAATTAATTGTTTTGTAATGACGCCATGTTGTATTTGCATATCGAAATGACTTTTCTTTGTAATTTTATTATATATTTCTGAGATAAAATCAATTTTGATGTCTATTTCAGAGCGTTTGATGGGTCGTACGCATCGGTCACTCATCTCACTGTCATAGTTACTGATGTCAATGACAATGCCCCGGAAGTTGATAGAATTGACCCTCTAGAGATACCGGAGCAACTACCGGAAGGCTCTGTCATTGGTGCAATAACATCGGCACGTGATGTGGACACCAATGACAAGATCACGTTTTCTCTAAAAGGTAACCATTAAAATATAAAGACTTTTAACTTGAAATAGTGACAGGCAACATTGTACATATCCTTATCAAATTCCCAGCTGTTCAAAACTTTTTTTAGACAGTTAGACATTGAGTGAATATTGTTTTACAACGCAGTCATCAACTACAAGGCTTTATCACTACAAAACTAATCGGTCTCAACCACATAAGTAGTCGTATATATGTCACGCTGGCAAATTTTGAATGGGGAATCCTATGTTAAAATTTTCGCAAAAAAGAGGTCCCCAATTAGCGAGCTCTGCCGCGGCGAGCGACCGTCGCCCACTAATTAAACACCTCGCGCCGCGTAGGGTAAACACCTGTCCCGGGAAGCTAGCGAGAAAAGTACACAGACGTCCGATATCGACACGTAGCTAAAAGTATGTTAATGACACCTCTGTTAATTAATTAGACATACACTGTAAAACTTTACCGTTAATTTTTTACGGTAAAAGTTTGGCAGCCATGCTGCCGGTAAAAACTCAGTAGCTTTACGGGATACCGTAATAAATTCATACCGTAAAATATACGGTAAAACTCTGGCAGCCATGCTGCCGGTACAAAACCAGTAGCTTTACGGGATACCGTAATAATTCATACCGTAAAATATACGGTAATAGTTTGGCAGCCGTGCTGCCGGTACAAAACCAGTAGCTTTACGGTGTACCGAATGTATTCATACCGTAAAATATACGATGAAATTGTTGCAGCCGGTAGAATTCCTGTGCATGTATAGCCAAATAAAGTAATAACCATTTACTGAGGTTACCTGCACATAACAGCTGAAAGGCAACAGCATTGGAATGTTAGCTACAACATGGGAACTATATCTATAATTGTCTTGCTTTTAATGCTGCGAACATATGCTATTCAAATAAAAAGAATACAACTGTGTTAGATGAATCTTTGAACCAGATGATTCAGATTTTATTGTTTTCAGTGTGAAGCTGGTCTTTTCTTACATCATCAGAGTTAGTATAACGATGTTAACCTAAGTTGGCATAGTATATGCTGTATACAGCTATACCCCCTCGTACTTTGTTTAAGCTTAGGAAAAGAGGCGACAAAATGATGTGTATTAACAGCAAACAAAAGAAACATTTCCTATGTCCTGATGACAATATAGGTCTCTAACAATATAACTAATCCACGTGGACTGATATAAACAGTGATCTGTCTGAAAACATTACATGAAACAGAAAACACTAAACGCAAACAGACTACCATTTCACTTTCTTCAAGATCAGCTTCAACCAATCTGTTGTCTGTTTGTATAGATATGCAGAGCTGTCCTTCATCTGTATTTGTATGTGTGTTATTTGCTTCAAGAACTGAATCTGATAACTCCGATAATGTGGTGCTTGTGCTTTCTACTTATATGAGATGAGAATGTTTATTTATGTACAATTTTGGTATTGCATGATCTAAATGGACAAACAATGGGATCCCTTCTGTCTAAATGCTGACGCAAATGTTTCAAGAGCTCCTCGATACGAGAGAATGTACTGTCACAAAAGCTTTGCCTACATACAAGATGCACATTCACATGTGACTGGCCATTTACTGACCTTGACTGACTCGTGTTTGTGTTGCGCCCATGATCACGCAGTACGTGTGCTCGAAACGCACTGTACGTGTGAAATTGTCTTACACAAAGCTCCTGACAACATGGAAACACAATGTTTGGTACGTTTCTGTGTAAACGATAATGTCTGACATACTGACGTAAGATAGAGGTCTCAAAAGTACATTCTTTGCAACGATACGTCATTACATTTGTCAAACACAAAAATACAGTTGGAAACAACAGAAAAGCTAAATAGTGAACATGTAAGTCCTTAATCTGCATACTCTAGACATCGTATAGTACAAATTACCAATAGATGAGTCTTGTGGCAGCTGATTCTGGAACGATTCGTCTTCGTGTAATCAAACCCAACGTAAAATGGCGGCGGCGTGGATGACAGTATCCCACAATGCTTTGGGGTTAAACGGTATTATACCGTCAGAATCATTCACTACAGTAAAATGCCGTATATGCCACAATGGTTTGGGGTTAAACGGCGTAATCCCGTAAATTATTGACGTTAACGGCATTGCACCGTGCCACTGTCATAACGTAATTCTACCGTCGCATTTTCACGTGATGTTACCGTATATTTTACGGCAAAGTTTTACAGTGTACACGCGGTCTTATAGTATGACCAGAACAACCAAACTGTAGAATTTGAAACGTAAGGCACCCCAAGTAGCTGAATCGAGTTCTTCTTCGAAGAAAACGAAAAAAGCGACCAGCGGTGAGCTGGAAGAACGAACCCGAATGCTCCTCACAAGATACTGATATCGTGATCTGTGATGACGATGATGATGATGACGATGTCTACGCGCTGAGTAATCTTACTCAAAAAACAGAGAACAGACCTCGACGATGACGCTACCAGCGAAACCGAAAGCGATGTTATCCTGTTAAGCGATGACAGCGACGATGACTACGACGAGTTCGGCAACCCAAACGTGCCCTATGTCACTTTAAAGGACACTATCTCCAGAAAGATTTCAATCAAGATCGATGGAGGTATCATCTACATCCAAAAATATACATTTGCATCATCGAGAAATCGCGCTTCCTGGAAAAAGTCGCGAGAAAGGTAGGTACAACTTAACATGTAACAATATCTCTGTGTGTGTGTGTGTGTGTGAACTTTTCTCTACATTTAATCCGCGCGAGGCACGTGTTAAAGGAACATTGGATCGTGTGTGTGTGTGTGTGTGCGCGCGCATGGGCATGCGTAGGGGGAAAACTTAAGATGTATTAATTATACCGTAGCTTTATTTAACGGTATATGAAATGTCACTATTTTCCTATGTTAAGGACAACTTAAGACGTAACAATTATATATTAACTTTTCTCTCCATTTAATGCGCGCGTGTGTGTGTGTGTGTGTAATGCGTGCGTGTGTGTGCACGCGCGGGCATGGGTAGGGGAAAAACTTAAGATGTATTATATATTAGCTTTATTTAACGGTATATGAAACACAAACGCTCGCTTGCAGCAATTTTTCATTTTTATCAGAGCAATTATCTCTTAAGCACGTGTTAAAGAAACATTGGATCGTGTGTGTGTGTGCGTGCGCGCGTGGGCATGCGTAGGGGGAAAACTTAAGATGTGTTAATTATATTGTAGCTTTATTTAACGGTATATGAAATGTCACTATTTTCCTATGTTTCGCACGAATGTGTGTGTGTGTGTGTGTGTGTGCGCGCGCGCACGGGGAGAGCATGGTTGGCGTGAACATTAGAGAGACAATAGTTTTGCGGTTATAGTCACAAACACTCGAGAAACCCGGGCTTCCCGGAAAATGTTGCGAGAAAGGGTAAGGACGTAACAATTATATATTAACTTTTCTCTCCATTTAATGTGTGTGTGTGTGTGTGTGTGTGTGTGTGTGTGTGTGTGTGTGTGTGTGTGTGTGTGTGTGATATGCGTGCGTGTGTGTGCACGCGCGGGCATGGGTAGGGGGGGGAACTTAAGATGTATTATATATATATATATATATTAGCTTTATTTAACGGTATATGAAACACAAACGCTCGCTCTCAGCAATTGTTCATTTTTATCAGAGCAATTATCTCTTAGGCACGTGTTAAAGGAACATTGGATGATTGCACAAATATTTATTTATTTATTTTTTAATTATTATGTTTCTTTATTTACAGCTGTTTGAGAAGATCGGGGACATCAAACACACGTACAGCGTGGTAGTGAAGCGACACAAATCAGATCACGACGTGAGAGAGGCGGCTCAACTGCTCGTGTCCAGGAAACCGTTCTACCGTTGTTGAACAAGAGAAAGGTTCACGACCCAATGAATCTCTATCGGTCCGTGTTGCGCGATGGAATGTCGAGATCGATTGTCAATACCGGTTTCAGAAGTAGAAATAATACCATGTATACATATCAGCAAAGGCGCTCGGGACTGTCGTATTTCTACGCGAAACGAATGGTGATGTCTGACGGAGTGACGACTCGACCGTTATGTTTGACTTTGAAACACGTTTCCAGATAATGTTGATCTGTAATCTCACGTGTTGGTCTGGTCAGAAATGTGGATTCATATATATTTATACATATATCCTTGGTGTTGGTGTATATCTATATATCTATATAAATAAAATACAACTATTATGTACTTTTGTGTTTATGAGTTTTATTTTATCTATCTATACGTCTTAACTACGGATACATGGATACCTCAACCAGAATATGTATACCACTATGTACATATACAAATAGAGAAGTAACGCCACGATTTCACATCGTCCTATTTACAAACACTATTCGTACAGTGGATTCGTGATACTTGATATTGTTCATTTAGTATACAATCAATGGAAAAGAGAAGTATACACGTCTTAAATACGGATACATAGTTAGGTCAAACAGAATACATGTATATAGTAAGTTATGTATGTACACCACTCATATACACAAATAGAGAAGTAGCGCTACGATTGTACACGGAGCTATTTACAAACTGTATTAGCACAGTCGATTCGTGATACATGCGAGGATAGTCACTGATAAAATGTATCCGTTCGGCTCGTGGTGCAGTATTCCTTCAATATCGTATCCAGTGTTGATGACCAACGCTATCGGGGTAGCTGGTGCTATGAGTCTTCATTCTTTTCGCTTTTGGGTGGTGATACATAGTCGATTGACAAGCGGGGAGTTTGCGTTTTTTCCCAGTTTGCTGTTGTTCCGTTGTAGTCTCGTCGTAATGACTTGATGGCGTTGAGTTGTCATTGTCATCCACTCGTACGTTGTTATCTTTCGCTCTTTCCTCATGCAGATGGACGCATCGCTCGTTGAGCGCTCGTTCATATTTCTCCTTCGGAATCAGAACCATCTCCTGTGCCGTAGTGCCCGTCTTGTTCTGATGCGTCGTCTTCGAGTGTAGATTCGGATCTAAGCTTCAATAGACTAATTATTAATGGCAACAAATGTCTGATTTGTAACAGGAGGCGTTTGGTGGTAGAGCGTCCTATTCTCCTGTCGGCGATCTTTCTCAACTGACTTTTCTTGCGTCTGAGCTTCTCCTTAAGATAGGGCGGAATTGGGATGTTTCCGCATAAGATGTTTGCACACAATTCGCTCATTACGTCCATTTGCTCATTGGTCATCAGGTTCAGTATCGACTTCCGCTGTCTGTCCGTCGGCGCATCTTTGATAAAATGCAGAAACGCGCTCGCCGATGATAACGGATGGGACATGGTGATTATCAGGACGCTTCGTATACCGTCAACACCTCACCCGGGAATATGTTGGTTCTGAGCTGGTAGCGCGGGTCGCCTCTCGGTGACAGATCTATGATCAAATACCCAAACGGTTTACTCGTTGCCTTTTCATACGCATCCAGAAAAAACTTCACCTTACCGGGTAAGATCTGTCGTCCAATCGTTGATATTTGAGAGGTATCGCGTCTATTTTTAAATAGTACGATGTAATGAGAATTTAAAGATATGGTCCTGGCGTACTTTCCATACGCGACGGAGGGGAAGAGTGTTTGGCTGAGAAGACACACCGTTATGTCTTTATGGTGCCCGAGAGTCGTATAGACTTTACACATTGTCGGGTCACGTGATGCTTGGTCGATCAGATCGTCGGCTATCATTAGTTTGTGTTCAGTAGAATTCGCCCATTCATTTACACTCTCTTCGCATGGTAATCCTTTGTAGAATTCTAAGAGCGGATGATGTGCATTTTCTCGGGCATTTCTTTCCAATGAGTCGTAGATATCTTGCCACACGGAATAACAATAGAGTATTTTCGTTACTTTTCTTTCGAACATGGCGTCAACATTTTCTATCAATCTCTTGGTGAAGGTTGACTTCCCCGCTTGCGTAGCACCGCTAATGAAAATAGTGGTCGGGGCGAGTAGAGGTAA